TTTTTTGTATGGATAGGAAATTCAATTTGCCAATTATCCTTTAAATGCAATCGCATTCGTAAGATAAGAGGAGCTAATGAATTACTATTGGAAAAATTTAAAGGGCTTACTTTAAAATTTCAGATCGCTCTTATTCACTTAATTTGCGTGATAATATGAAAAAGGATATGTAGGTTTCCGCCTATGCCGATCAATTCCTGCAAACAATGAGTGAGATAAGGGAAGGGTCCTTAGGCGACATCATAAAGTGAGCCAGAAAGGATCTATTCATTGCAGCTTAACTGTATTTCTGCTTTCCAAACTAAATGGTCTAGCGTCTTGTTCCACCAAGGTCTGATTGTAGTTCATGGGGTTATAACCTGGTGGAAAGGTTTTGAAAAAATGAATAATAAGAAAATAATCGGGAAATGGTCAGGAATCACCTACAACCGCTGCAAAGGCGCCCTCAAACGTAAGGAAGCCAACATATGCAAACCAGGCAATTTCGGGCAAGCGACAATGCTGGGTGAAATAAGTAGAATTTGACTTAATGGAATCAAATTTAAGATATTAAGAATACTCACGGATGTATCGCTGTAACGGCTTTATGTGTCATAAATCCAGTCAAGCAAAGGACGACAGGCAAGAAGCTGCGAGCAAGCTTTACGTTATTACAAACTTTTATAGCAATTTTCAAAATTAATAAGTTTTCAAGCAAAGCGCGCAATTTCATTAAATTTGTAGAGGAAAACAAAAAGGTATCAAACACATTGCACGCTTCGAAGAAGAATGCTATTACCAGCAGCAGCAGTGCCAACAGCCCTAATAAGTACAATATTTGTTTTGTTTTGTTTGTAATTACAGGCATTTTGAGAGAACTGCATGGATGGCAAACTGCAACCCTGCTCTGGCAGATGCTTTGTGCCGCAATTAAGCGTCCGTGTCTGCAGAGAGCGGAATGAAAGTCGAGCGCGGCTTGGGCCAACGCGTGTGCCGTTTGATGTCAAAGGCATGTCGCAGCGTTCGACGACAAGTGACAGGCAACAGGCGACCGAGTGACGCTTATTGCATTCATTGACACCCACGCTGGCACAGCCACCCCTTCAACATCGACTTGCAACCCCTGACACGCCGTCAGTTTTTAATTACAATCGGGTAAAGTGTTGCCGGATTACTTTTCTTTTTTTCAGGCGGCAATAAGCCACACACTAACCGTAAAATTTAAATGACAAGATTACATTTCAAAGACGGTAATCATTTTAAAACAAAATGAAGAATCAAAGCAAAAGCAATAACAAGGAGAGCAATATCCTGTAATATGAAGAGCAGCTGCTGCAGCGGAACCACTTAAAGCCATTTGTTTTGTGTTTGTGGCCAATGTGTTTCAAAGTAATAAAATTTTAACTATTCAAGCAAGAAGCAAGACATAAATCATTTGCCATTAAAATCATTTTGTATTCGTATTTTAAATTATGATTTCTGACTACGTACATATCTGTGTTTGTATGGAATAGTAACTTATGTCGGAAGGCCGGCTTTAGTATAAAGAACATTATTGCATTATACTAAAGGCAGCCTTCCGACATAAGCTACCATTCGATACGAACTCAGATATATAAGTAGGGGTATAATAGCATCTTTTGTAAACAAAAAAACTTTTTATTTTATTTTATGATATGGAATTCTACTGAGAATCAAAACCAAAACTCGCTTTTTTAGTGACTTCACCAGAAGCTCACTCAGCTCAACCGAAATAAAGTAGTAAAAAAGTAATCTTTGAGAGCTTTGTTAGAGATTTGCATATGGTCCACAGCTACGCCTTCGTTGCCAATCTACATAGCTTAAACATATAAAATGAGACTATAAAACTTTAAATTTCCTTTTGTTGGCTATTGTCTGAACAGACATATCTAGTTTACCGGCCTAAATTTAGCCTATAATAGTAATGAAGTGGTAAAACAAATAAATTTACTTTCAATGATAGAGAGTGAAAACGGTTTGTCTAGCATCTCTATTTGTATCCCTCAGCTTTTAGTATCACGTAAAACGTAGGTACGTTCCAAGATGATACTTCTTAATACTTTTAATGGCAACAGTGCTCAAACTAGTGTAGAAGACGAATCCAAGCACCCAGTTAAAAACGACGGAGTGAAATCTCCTCATTCTACTATGACGAATAACAATTCCGTTGCTAAAAACAACAAAGCACTGTTAGCTCAGGTTTTCAAATGTGATGGCAGGAAGTTGATATGGCGTGTGTCGGGTGAACTTTTGGGTACCAACTGGAATCATACAAAATTCTATCTGTAAAGACAAATCCGGCCAGCCAAGCAATTTATTGGACCTTAATTTTCAGACCAAATCTTGATAAACACTCCGAAAAGCAATATCGATACACCCCATTTAATTACAGATTTAGTAGCCGATTTTTATGGCATGAAAATAATTTGCCTACTCGCTTATTATTTTATTTATTATTTTATTCACTGACTTTACAATTTTTTTAACGGTTGGCATGATTTAACATTAAAATAGTGCAATATTTTCTTATTCTTTTTTGGCGCTGTAACCGCCTAAGCGATTTTGGCCGAGTTCAGCAAAGCACGCCAGTCGTTTCTCTTCTGTGCTAACTGACGCCAATTGGAAACGCCAAGTGAAGCCGAGCCCTTCTTCACCTGATCTTTCCATTGCAGTGGGGGCCTCCCTCTTACTCTGCTACCACCAACGGATGTTTTTAAAGAATGAACTATAAAAACTAACCAAAATTAAATAACAGCAAAAATAATATTTTAAAACTTGTAAAAACTAGGTGCGGCTACTGTACATAAGTTGACTATGATTACTCGGTAGTGCTATCATAGTAGCATAGAGCCACTACTCATGCAATGTCCTCATGCGATCATCGATTATATTTTTTGTTTTTTGTGTGAAATATTTTATTTTTATCAGTATTTTTCTTTTAATCAAAATATGTTGAAATAAAAGTGAAGTTAAAAAAATTTTGCCAGAACCACCCCTCCCCGAAAAAAGATCATCACGGCGCCAGATACAGCATGGATAAGATTTCTGGAGTATATCTTTTTAGCGAAGCTCATTACAAAGGTTTTGATACGTCCTTGTCAAACGCTATTCAAATAACTAAGCACTGGTGGTGCTACTGCTGGTACGAAAAGGTGTAATGTATGTATACACATATGTACATATCTTTCTATGCCTGTACATATACTTATGTGTGCGTATGTATAGCCGTAATAAGTGCTATGCAGACACTTTGCGTAATTGCAATGCAACTATTTTTGCTGTAGATATTTGCGATGATTACTACTTTCTCCCATTTGCTCTGGGTTTTCTCCGTATCACACACTTTTATATTATGCCCGTCAACCGCAATGCGTCCATCTCAGCTACATATTCTCCCAAGTGTACAAGTTTGTATTTATTTGCAGAACGCATTTACTTTTCAATTGATTGCGTCAAAGCTACAAGCTCAAAGTGCATCGTTTAGAGTGCATTACAAATATTCATTTATTTGTATTTGTATTTATAAGCCGCAGCTCTCATTTCCGTACCCTTCCCGCGCTTCTTTGGTCAATCTTGCCTGCTGGTATTTTCTATTTGCAATAATTGCCTACCCCGCCCGAGGCCCGCCACGATGCCCTTCGAACAGCAGCACTGCAGCAGCGCTTTAAGTGGACATCCAGAAATTGTCGATTGAGCTTCTGTTACACCGATTCACCCTCCGTGTCCCATCGATTGTCTCATCGGTCGACCGACCGACCGACCGACCAGTCATTCGACCGCACTTATCGCGACCCATTAATATGGTCAAGTGGCTGCTCTGTTAAGATTTTACTTATTTGTTGCAAATTGCAATTGCATTGCAACATTTCAAAGCGACATTGTGCAAGAAATGGCGGAAGAAGCAGCCGGTGATGCCCAAGGCGTCACTTGGGCTTTTGTATGCCAAGGGTGAGGAATGAAGTGGGTCCGGTCAACCGCATATTGGCATATCTGGCTGCGGGTGAAATGGCGAATGCATAAATGCCATTGTAAATATTGTGTTTGCAATTTTCCAGCTCAACAAGCGAGCAGCCAATTTTCTTAATTAATTTCTTTTTGTTTCGCACACTCGACTTTTACGATGCTGACGATAAGAAGATTGAAGTAGCAGGAGTAAGGGAAATGCTAAGCAAAACCAGCTGACACGTATGTATGTATGTAATGCGGCTACAACTGTCAGAGTACAATTAAACGACTAAGACCTTTGTGTAAAAACGCGTAAGAATACTTAAGATAATTGTGGAATATTGAAGCATTGACAGAATGCATGGAAGAATGTAAGCGTTGTTTTTATTTGTTCATATCAAGAAACCTTTATTTAAAAGCACTTTTGTTAAAATTGTCTACTGCATACATTTCCATATATTTCAGCCGTATTTTAGTGGTACTTAATATTGAATTATATTTAATTATAGTTACTATCATCATTCAAATACATATTAGGGATATTTCTTAATTTTCTAGTTTAAAAGTTTTCACCATAATTGGCAGAACGGGAGAACCTGAGAACTTTATTTAATCCTAACGGCTTCAGAGCTTCTGTACCAAAATTCCTAATTAGCATACCTACTAAACTCAATAGAAAGAGGAACAGAGATCGCTTATAGAAAGAAGATCATCATATCGGAAAGTTACATTTATCGTATTTTGGGCGGAGAATAGAACTTTTCTGAAAGAAGCGGCATTGGGATCCAAAGAAGTCAAGCTAACGATTGCTAGAAAATGTTGCAGATAAGTTACATAAATCAATATTAAAGTGAAAGTTACTAACTATGGCCTATAACAAACAGTTCTTAGTGCAGAGGTTGTCAGGATGATGCCCAAGTCTCCAGTATGAAACAATCTTCTTATTTGGCACTGAAATCTATTCTCGGATTTTTGCCCAAGCCCAGTCTCTTTATTAGCGAAGCTCCGTAAATTTCCCATTTGATTCGAAGAGCTCGAAAGCTTCATTCGCAACTCGGTGTTTATTACACAGCCGTAGAACTTTTGAGGGTACCAAATTTAGGCTTCGTACAGGCTGCCTTAGTCGAGTGATTAGAGGCAATGCCAAGCTTTGGATAGAGCGGTAAATTCCATTACTCTAAAATCCTCTTTGATTTCAAAGTACGGGAGGATTACAAAATGTATGGGGAGTTCACGATGAGTACCATTTTAGTTGTAAAGTTGTTATTGGAAAAGCAACAAAACATGT